TCTTTTTGGATCATCTGGGCACTGGAAGCTCTTGACAAACGTTATCCATTCCGAATAGATACCATCTGTTAAATAATATCCTTTATTATATTGGGTTCCATTTACTGTAAAATTTACGTCAGGTGTTACCCCGTGTAAGACATCGTTAAATAATGGGGACTCGTGCAATACATTGATATCATTGCGTGACCCAGCAAGTCCAAAAACGGCATGCCAGATCCACAAGTCTTGTGAGGCTACCGCTTCAAGTATTATCGTTGGTACACCATGATCTCCTCGAGTGTACGAGCCTTGCCAAGCAACAAGACAATTTTTCCACTCCTAGTACATACAGTCAAGGCTCCCCAGCATTCCAGGAAAACCATGCTTATGCTCGTGCAATGCAAGTAGTCGTTGGATGTCAGCAGCATTAGGTGAACGTAAGTATTGAGATGCAAATACCTGACACACAGCTCGACAAAACTCCATAAGACTTCTATTTGCCATTTGCTCTGACATGCGCAAGTATTCATCACATTGATCGACATGTGCTCCGTATGCTAGTTGGCGTATAGCTGCGGTACACTTCTGAATGGGTGAAAAGCCCTGTCTACCAGATGCATCTGTTTTGCTCTTAAAATAATCAGAATAATTTTCAACTGAATCGACAATACGAGCAAATAAACGTCTGGACATACAAAATCTACGACGAAAAAAGCCCTCGTGATAGGTGGGTTCCGTAGCAAAATAATCTTTTATTAGCAGAGCGTGTCCGACATCACGACCTCGATGTACTACTCGCCTTTCTCGCCTACTTGAATTTTCACCTTGTTCGGCTTCTTCGAACTGATTAATCACAGCCTCCATCAGGGAAAATTCAGCCTGCACCAGAGAATCATGAAGCATATTTTTCAGGAAAGCACGATATGCTACTTTATCATTGGTATTCCTAGACATCTTAAAAGAAAAAAAATACTACAAAATAGAAGACAGATAAGATGCAGAAAGAAATTATTTGGTGGATGTCTGAGAATACATTTGAGGCATCTATTTATAATGAGAAAAAGATAACATCTACTAAAAGTTTGGTGGTATTCACGTGAGTATCCATCTCATACCTACCTTTTTTTTGCTTTTTGGTTGGTTGTCATTTTATTTGCACATAAATAACTAATGTATTTCATGGGCTTGTATTTAATATGGTACACAAAATAAAAAAAAATACAGTAAAATTTAAAATTAAACACAAAGGAGAAATTGAGTACACAATTAAATTAAATACAATACGAGTACATAATAATAAGAAACAGGTACATATGAAAATTAAAGACAACACAAATTACTTAAAAATACAGTACATAATCATCATTAGAAAATTATTAAAACTTTAATTGAGGCCCAATTCCTCTTTCAGTTCAGCGAAAAGTGCGTAGTGAGCTTCTAATTCTTCCTCGCTCATTGTTGAAATGTCCTCCTTTAGCATTTCTCGGAAGGTCTTCCATGACTCCATACGAACCAACTTTTTAAGTTCATTATGTTGTTTTACATGTATATCCTTAACATGTCCAAAGACTTCCATCATACGTTCAGCTTTCTGATCAGTGTTACTTCCCATGCTACATTTTACTTTTCTCTTCCCTGCCTTTGCTGCCTTCTGACCAATTGGGCGACGCACATATCTCTCATCATCATCACAATCCTGCTCTAAATCCTGGCCAAATCCAGAAGTGTGATCTCTCAATTCAGACATTCTAGACTTTTTTCCTCCTCGACTTACCGTTGATAACCCTTGAAAATTAGGACTATTTTTTAGAATTTCCCAACAATGGAGCCATTTGAAGGCTCCTTTCCTCTTACCATCACTATTCCACTCCATTAATGCATTTTGCAACACAATAGCATCATTTCTCCACTCCTCTGGTCAGCTCGGAACCTATTTATTGATGCATTGAATTTTAGACAATCTCCATGAAAAGCATAAAAATGAGATTTTGCCGACTCCATAGATCTTTCAATAAAGTCCCGAGCTTGACCATTTTCATTGTAGTATTGGGTGATTCGCCTCCAAAAGCCATCTGAACTTTGTTGAGCCCCAACTCGAGATAGTGCAGAAAGCTCGACAAAGCAACATATCTTCGTCTTGTGTCCACGATTTTGCAGACGATTTCGCTCCTCTCTTTGGTTCAGCTTCCTTATTTTTTTGTATTTCTTTGTTAAGACAAATGTTGTCAAGGACTTCAACCTCTGGTTCAGTACTACCTCTTACGGCATCTTGTGAACCAGTACTCATCGCTGTTGGCATGAAACTACTTTGTTGAAAAGGCATGCCAAATGAGTTTGGCGTATTATATTGGGATGCCATTGACCACATATACTGAGATTGTTGTTCAGGGGCTTGGATGGAAAAAGAAGGCATCGGTTGATATGAAAAATTTTGGAATTGGGGTTGCAACTGCATTCTGGGAAATTGACCAAGCGCGAAGCGAGATTTTACAGAAGACGGGCTATCGTCTTCAGAAGAATTAGACATATTAAAATTAGGAAAATTTGGGTTTCTATCCATTGAAATACAAGAAAACAAGAGGTATTCTTTTGCTTGAGTTTTTCATCAACCGAATGTTCAATTATATAGATGTATTCAGCTATTCATTATTACTATATACAATAATATCAAATTATCACGATAAGATAGATAAGGCACATAGTTCAAAACAATTGTCAACACTATTTCTCAAAAGTATTTTTTAAGTAAATATATACTATAAAAAATAAAAATAAATAATAAAATAAAAAGTTTGTTAATCTTTACGTCTAATTTCATAGTTACAAATTGCAAACCATACTGGCCACTTATGTCTGTGTGTGTGTATATATATGTTGAATTATTATTATTATTTGTAGATATTTTTTATGTACTTTATAATTATGAATAACGAAAAAATAAAGTTATATTTTATTGCACATTCTCATGATTTATAAAATATTGTTTCTAACAATTAAGTTTATTTTATATTAAGTTAATATATATATATATATGTATTATTTCCATCTCNATTAACTAGACAAAACAAAAACAAAAAAAAAATGTGGACAAACATAAAAAGAGCGTATTCTGAGAATACGTTTTAGAGTGTAAAACGTATTCTCGGAGTACGTTTTATTCATATTACAGTATAAAACGTATTTACATAATACGTTTTAAAAAAAATTAATAAATAAAACGTATTTTGGTTATACGTTTTACAAATAATTAAGTATAAAACATATTCACATAATACGTTTTAAAAAATTAATAAATAAAACGTATTTTAGTTATATGTTTTACAAATAATTTATAAATAAAGCATATTTTGATAATACGTTTATATTTTAAAATTAATGAATAAAAAAAATTAATATGTAGTATGTATTTTGTGTTTCGGGCTCATTTTGGCTCGTCTGAACTCGTAATTGAGTTCTGTTTTTTCTTATACGTACCTAATGAACCCCTCTATTCAATGATGCTTGAATGACCAAATTGTTATTGAAATTATATTCTCCCAAAACTTTTAACCTACACATTAAACGTGTTTCGCTCGACTTTGCTTTTTGGGCCTGTTCAGACTCGTCCAAGCTCGTAATTGAGTTTCGTTTATTCCTATATGTCGCAAATGAACTCGTCTACACAACCATGATTGTCTAGTCAATTTTTGGGTTAAATCTATTCGTCACGGGGTTAAATAATTAACAAATCACCCATTATATAAATAGATGGTCCATGGAGGATTTGTTAATGGTTGATTTGCTAATTATTTAGCCCGTGAGGAACAGAAATAGCTCGAAAATTGACTGGCCAATCATGGTTGTGTAGAAGGATTCATTGGCGACATATAGGAAGAAGCGAAAATCAATTTCGAGCTTGGACGAGTCCGAACGGGCCCAAAAAGCAAAGTCGCGCAAAACACGTTTAATGTATCAGTCAAGAGCTTTGGGAGAATATGATTTCAAGAATAATTTGGTCATGCAAGCATTGTTGAATAGAGGGATTCGTTAGCTACGTATAGGAAAAAACGGAACTCAATTCCGAGTTCAGACGAGCTCAAACGAGCCCGAAACACAAAATACATACTACAAAATGCATACTACTTATTAATTTTTTTTCATTAATTTTAAAATATAAAACGTATTATCAAAATACGTTTTGTTCATTAATTTTTTTAAAAATATAATATGGGAATACGTTTTATACTGTTTTTTCAATTGTTTAAAAAAATAACATTTTACAAATATAATTTTAAAACGTATTACCAGAATACGTTTTTTTAAAAAAATTTAAATAAAAAAAACATATTCTGAGAATACGTGCTTTTTGTTTTTGTCCACAATTTTTTTTTTCTTTTTATTTTTATCCAGTTAATTTTTATATTTTTTATATATATAAACTACCCTCCACAATACATTATGAAAAAACGTCCTTAAAATAAAGTGTAGGGGACAACCACTATATTGCTGTGGGGACAACAACTTTTTCACCACACGCGCTCCCATGCATCATACACACATATTTGATGAGAATTTGAACATCACGTCCATCTATGCATTTGTACATATAATTTCTATATTGTTTTAAATAGAGGTTTGGGATTCAAGAGCGGTGTTAAAATTCCAAACCCCAAACCTTATGTAAATAATAGAAAACCTTACGGCATCAGCTTTTCAAATCTCATGAAAACCTCATGAAAATCTTCTATTATAGATGCTCATGTTTCCAATATGCATGTTTCCATTCACGTCTTTTGCTTTTATATACTCATACATACTACTAAGTTCTGATACCGTAATCATTACAAAAATTAAAATATATTAACACATGAGTCACCATTAAATCAAATAACTTACTTGATAGCAGTTAATACAAGACTCCACAACTTAAAAAAAAATAAAAAAATTACACAATGAGAAATCACCAAATTGAACTCCAAAAAGTTCAAAATAACTCAGATTTACTACTAACAGAAGCTTAGAGTACATATATATATATAGTCCATTTAAGACCACAATTAATGAAAAATCACCGCCTTTTGGCAGCCGTTTCTCGCTGGCAGTTGAAGAAAACAGCCGCCACTGGGAGACCTAAATCGTTCTCCTCCGCAAATTTCCGAGTATTAAATCGATCCCTACACGGCGGAAAACCGAGCACGTGACCTTGCCTTTGCTTTTGTTTGAACAGAAGAAATACAATCCTGTGGATACCTATGTTTGGCCTCGGCATTTCGTAGCTCACCACTTCTTTTCCTGTATATCATTATTTTTATTTATTAATTATTATGGTATTGAATATTAGATTGGAATTGAGGGAATCAGGGAAATATATTAATTAATTAATTAATTAATTAATAAGACGAAATTAAGGTGAATTACCGAAAGAGGAATCAGTGGTGCCTGGGATGTCTGTGACTATCCTGTCATGAGTTGATGTTGATCAAATCAAACTTGTGTTAATTACATGTTAGTTGGTACAATATTAATAAAATGTCAGTTTTATAATTCTATTTTTGGTTTATTTTTGATATGAGGAAATTCTATTTATGTACAATTAAGCACCCTCAATTAAAATTAGGTTGTTGTTATTATTATTAGTATTATATTATTTTTCTCAGGTTGTATTGTAATTGAACTATGGAGAGTGAATGGATTAATTAAACTTAATATTTTCACATAACTGACTTCCGTTATCCGTACAACACGGCTACGGTCCACGATGTACACTATCACCAAGTGAAATTTTATTTAATTTAACAGGCAAAAATTATCTTATTTATTTATTTATTTGAAAATGGGCTAAGCACGTAATAAAACTGCAAAGTGCAAGGGTCACTAAGTTTATTTATATATAAAAACAACGAAATGATCAAATTTAAACAAAAGTATTCAACGAAAATTCAATTTCAATATTATAACTTCTATAGAAAAGTTAAAATAAAAATTCCAATAAAATAATTCGTCAGATTTCTTATTGGATTTTGAAAATTTTGAACGAAAAATTGTCAAATTTCATTAAAACTTATACAACAATTGTTGAAAAAATTATCGTTGAAATTCGATCAGGACTTTTAAGTAAAAATTTCATTCGAAATACTTTATTGTTAATTCTCCGTGGAAAATATGTTGACATTTTCCGACATAAGTAATAATATTAGAATATATATCCATTCTGTTGGAACATGATATTTTTTTAATGTTATAATTTGGTACAAATTAATCATTCCATTGGGTATATATCATGTAGTGCAAACTTGGTTTTAAAGATGAATCGACTAATACAAATTTCATTTACTACATGACCTAAAGAAGTTTAATCGTCTTTAATTTCATGTTATTTTTAAATGATTTCTTATTAGACGATAATTAAAAAGCACATAAATATTACCAGTGCAAGTGCTCCCTGAGATATGGATCACTCGGGCCAGGAACATCAGGATCTGTCATAATCTAGATAATAGACAACAATTAATTCATAATACAACAGTACAATCAACTGAAAATATAATATGTAAAAAAATTCCAACAAAGTACTATAAGATGAAGACTATATACTATGGTTGAAATAATAATAATAATAATAATAATAATAATAATAATAATAATAATAATAATAATAATAATATAATAATACCAGGGTGAAAAATGATCTCATATCACCACCATGAACCTCAACCCTAGGTTTAGCAGTAATTGAGGAAGGAAGAAGATCATGGCCATTGTACACATTCTTGTTCGAGTTGTAAGTGACGCACATTTTAATGCTGCTCGAGAAATTGTCGACTACATCTCCGATCACTCGACTGATCACAAGAGGATAATTTGATTCCATCTTTTTTTTTTANGAAAAAAAAAAAAGCTAAGAAATAAATAATATTTTTTTATATGTGGATGTTTTTGGTTAAGATGGAATAGCTGAAACTAGCTAGATAGATATTTATAGAGGCAACAAGGAGAATATAGCTGACAATTATAGCATATTTTTTGAGTGAGGAATTTACATAATAAGTAATTTGGGTTTCAAGAATTGGACAAAAGCTCCAAGTGGGGTGGTTATTTTTAGTAATTTTCAAAAAGTTATGAGAACTTGTGAAAGATGACTTGACATGCTGCAAATTCTAAATTATTTCTCATAAATTTTATGTGAACTTTAGAGGTACAACCACACATATTATATGGTATATGGAGATGGAGTTCAAATGCATGATAAATTTATAGTTATATTTTATAATTTGCGCGTCTCTAAATATTTATTCCCCAACCATATTCTATATTAGATATCAACCTCCTCAATCTAAACCACTCACTTCACTTGAGGAAATTTGATATAATATGATGGAAAAAAAATCATCCTATGAATATTTTTGTTCGTGAAATTATTAAAAGATTAAATATTAATTTAGATTCACAAGAATAATAACTGTAGCAATATCATAAGGTGTATACATAACAATATCTTAATCTTTTTAATAAATATTTTATGCTCATTGAGATCCATTAAAAAAAGGTTGTTTGAGCACCCGGCACTAAAGGGTCTGCTTCAGAAGCCCAAGCCTAGTAATATTACGATGCCTCAAATAGAAGCCCAGCCCAATTAAGTACTTCAATAATCTTAAAATAAACCATATATATATCATACCATTTGAATCAATCTAATAAATAAATAAGTCGAAAAATATATAAGTACAACAAAATTAAACATATAAATATATTCTAATAAATATATAAAATATAAACTTCTTTTGATCAATCAAATATTTAGTAATTAATTTCGTTTTCTTGTGCTTAAATACACGTGTAAAATAATTCGGGTGGCCTTAATTTGTAATTAGACTGTTAGAGAGAGCTGGGATGTACGGTTTTCAAATCGGGTTGTGCGGCTAAGCTTTCTTTCTTCTTCCGCCATGGGAGGAATCTGAAAACCACCGCCAATCTTCTGTCCAGCGCCAAATAGATATTCAAAAGATTCCTCTCGGCAAGTTACTCGTCTTCTTCGATTGTCCGCGATGTTCCGGCCACCGGCGGTACTGCCCTGGCAGAAGCGTTGTGGTATCCGCCCAATCTGAAGCGTGGCGCCAACATCACCACCAACATTCTCATGCTCGCGGTGGAGCACGTGACCGACGGCGGAGCGCGTGATTACTCTGTAATCTCAACCGAAAGCGGCTCGTTCAAAGTAGTACAAGCCAATCCCCCCCAATTTCTCTACTCTCCTCAGAGATGAAGACTACTGTCCCGTGTACGGGAGAAGCAATTATGACATCCTAGCGAGTTGCAACAAATGGATGTTGTTGAAATGTAACAGGGTACTATACGGAGGTCCATATCAGGTCCTGTGGAACCCTACCACCGACCAGGTGAGACCCCTTCCTTTCTTTGATTGGCCGCCGCAATTGCTGCGTGATTTCAGATCTTTGAGGGTCTATTGGAATTGTCACGACTTAGGGTTTGATCCTGCATCTGAGGACTATAAGGTGCTCCGATGTGGCATTTGGGAAGACCCTTGTGGGCAGGTGAAGATGGAGGACAAAGCCCACGCTGCGTTGTTCTCGCTCAAAACTGGTGCTTGAAAAGGAATTCCGTATCCTCATTTTCGCGATGTGTTACTCGTTGAATGCTCTTGTGTTCACATAAATGGCATTTCCTATTGGATAGCTGTGCAGGCCCCCATTATTGTTTCGTTCGACTTTACTAATGAGAACTTTCCCGAACTTATCCCACTCCCCGAGAGCGATAACCTCGTTGACCTCTTTTGTTTACGAATTGTCGAGTTTCGTGGGTCGCTTGCCGCTGTTGTGTATAAGTACAAGCAAAAGATGCGTGGCGAACCTGTTGTAAAGTAACCTTCTGATTTCGAGATTTGGGTATGGAATGACGGCTGGTCTTTCAATTCTACATACAATGTCCCTCTTCTTTATGATGATGTTTGTGTTGAACGTGTAATTGGCCTCTACAAGAATGATAAAGCTCTGTTTATGGGCTCCAATGATTCACTACTGCTTTACGATTGTCATAACCGGGTGTTGAAGGATCTCGGCATCCATGATGAACTAGGAATTAATATTAGGGTTTATCCTTATGTCCAGAGCACATAAAAGAGAAGAGAGCTCCTTTTCAGTTGATTCTTATGGTGAAATAGAACAGAGCTACTGCTGATATAGCGGGTATGTTACGGTGGCGTAGTTCTTTGTTTTCTGGCTTTGCTGTCAGAATTTTATCTGCTATGCAATGCTACTTTTGGCTGTACCATATCTTAATTGTGATATCTTTCACTGCATTGGTGGTGGTATCAATCTTTGTTTGCTTATTGATCCTCCTTTATTTTCAAATGCAGCCAGAGCAGGATCCAATTCCAACTTCTCTTTCATCTACTCAGGCTCATTTTATAAGCTTGTGTTTTTGAGCCTCTTTACTCCACTCTGATCCATTCTATGGAAGCATATTTAGCTATCTTTTGATAAGCATGTTCTTGAACCTTTCTCTTGTAGGATAATGATATGAAAACATTAGTAAACTCACCCCTGTTCCTTCTTTGTTGGGTATAAAGCTTTTCCTGAAGAATTCAATCCANGAGCTTGAGCTTTAGAGGAATTAAATCTATCTGCTTTTCTATGCACAAAATGTTGTTTTTGTTTTTTAGTAAACAATGTAGTCGGCACAGTTATTTAATCAGAGTGCGCAGCAATGATTATTGAAAACCCAGCGTTGATTATTGAAAATCCTATGGTCAAAATCCGTTGACGCCCCATTTAAAATGTCATATTTACTTTTTTGAAAATCGGATCGTTACAAAGTGGTATTAGAGTGAGTCGACGTTTCTATAAATTCTTTCAAAAATGTTTTAGTCGACATGAAAATCTTTTTAAAAGTTTGATCACTCACCTCATTCGTGCTGCGCTAACTCCACTCCAAAGTACGCATTTACATGTTTCAAGTCAATTAGCATTGTGTTTCATCATGTTCCTATTTGCATATTTAATTTCAAGTTGGGGCGCAAGACCATATCATCTAAGAAAAAAATATTTTTTAGGTAGCTTGCATTTTCGAGGACGAAAATATTTTTAAGGTCGGTAGGTTATAGCATCCTATTATTTTAAATATCGTTTATTTTGAATAGACGTTTTCATATTTTATTTTATGATTAATAGTATTAAGTATGGCTATTAAATCAATATAATTTTTACTATCCTTATTAAGTGGCATAATTAAGTATTATTAATAAAAATCAAAGTAATTTAAATTAAATGGAGTTAGGATAAATATTAAGGTAATTAAAATAATAAGAATTAAGGTATGATTTTAATAAGAGTAAATTGAGATTTTACCAATTTAAAAAGACAGATATAAGACATTTTAAGGAAAACAATCTAAAAGGGAATACATAGGATTTTTGAAAGGTGAGGACTCAGTCACCCAGCCTTTTCCCCACATTTCTCACTTTGGTTGAATCCTTTGGTCAATTGCAACAAGAAAATCTCGAGCTCTCTCCCACTCCTACCAGAAAGCCCTTTTCCCCATCACTCTTCCCTTCTTTCTTTCAAATTTCTTCGTCGGTTGAGATATTTTTCCCACGGTCCAGAGCACTTCCTTCGAGCCGAGAGCACATCATTCAAGTCGAGACCCTCTTCAAATATTAGGAGCCGAATTAATTCTTCAAACCGGTGCAAGGTAAACCTCTAATTTTTCCCAAAGATAGATTGACTTGAGCTTCAAGTTTTTGTTCGAATTTTGTCGAGCCCAAAACCTGATTTTTCCCGAAGCCTTTAACCAATCGAACCATGAAATTTAAGCCCAAGATGAGCCATCGGACCCAGCCATGCCCAGCCTTGAGCCGCCGAACCGAACCGTTTGAACCACCGCAGTCCAGGCGCAGACGGGACTCTCTCAGGCGCAATGCTCGCGAGACCCTAACTCGATTTGTCTCGAAACCCGCGCCGACACCTTGTTTATAAGCGATAGGTTGCTATTACGCGCGCTGATGCCTTTGTATTCGCCATGTTGTGAATAAACTTGGTTGTTGATCTTATTTCTAACATGATTTTGTATGTAAAACTCACAAGAATTCTATCACACGAGATTGGTGATAAAAGCGATCGATTTTCTTATTTCTTGAACTTGAACAACATGAAAAACATGACTTAGGAACAAGTATTTAGGGGGTGATTGGATATGAATTCAACTAGTAAAAAACTAGTTATTTTTTAACTATAGTTAAATTTGAAAAAAGGTGATATGGTTAGTTGTTAGAGCACCTGCATTGGTGCATTATTTTGGACCATTTAAATACATTGCACCCCATTAAACCAATGCACACATAAATTAATTTGTGGGCCTAAGGGTATCATTCAAGAAGCTTAATGGCTCTTTCACCATTTTTTATTTTTATTTGGTACTTTTTGTCCAGCTGCCTTTTTTTGTTCAAAACTTCAACGGCTATTTTTTAGCCTCTTTTATTTTTTTATTATTTTTTTGTATTTAAATGAATGTGTAGGGATGTGGGTGTGTATTTAAATGGAGAGAGAATTAGTGGAAAGGTGATGTGGAAATGATGTGTAAGAGAGATAGTGTACTTTTTTGATTGAATGAATGGAAAAAAAAATTAACAAATGCGGATGCCCTTAGTGGATATATTAAAATAATATTTAAAATAAAATAATTAAAGTTGATTTGATGTAAAAGTAAGAGAAAGTGATTGGAAGTGATAGTTAGTTAAAATTATGTGAATAGATGAATAGTGAATTAAAGTTGATGTGATGTGTAAGAATGATTGGTTGGTATTATTTAATTATATTGATAATATTGGAGATAGTGGAGTTGAGTTAAATCTGAGTTTTGATTGATTTTTTTACTGTAGAATTTGTATACAATTGCAATGACCTAAAACTAATCCTAAACTTATGAGAAAATAATCCTAAGAGAAATATAATTATAACTTAAGGAAACTAAATATCCTATGCTACCTTATTCTAGAAATTCTAAACATAAATAAACTCCTAAACAATCTAGAAAAATCAATAAAATATCTAATTAAGTCCTAAAATTCATCCAGACCCCTTGGAGAATCTTTTTGTGCCTTCTAGATGGTTCTCGGTCACTTGGCACCCAAGAAAACTCGTCCAACTCCCCAGCCGCGTGCGTCTCCTATCAGACCTAGGTCTTACTAGTATGCTCCTGCGCGTGCGTGTTTCCCAGGCGCCTGATAGTCTCGGCTTGCTACTCCCGCCTGGACGCTGCCCGCGCGACAACTTCAGGTTGCTCCCGTGTTCACGCACATCTCAGCGTGTGCCTCGTCCATTTTTCTCCCGCGAATAAGTTCGCTCAGGTCGCGAGTGTTTGCCTGCCCGGTCCTCCTGCGCGCCTCCTCGTGTCTGCGCACTGTCTCCTGTTGTCTCGCTCAGTTCAACATGCGCCAGCGTAGTTGCTCCGGGTCGTCTCGCACCTAGTGCTGTAGGTCTTGGCAGCGATCCGGACCTCTCTTTTGTGTGCACGTCGGACCCGGTCATGGGTGTTAGGCGTGTGTGGAACCCACTTTCTCATCATTCTCGCCTCCTTTAAGCACATCCTTGTCTTGAAGGATTGGAATATGTCATTCATGCATGCTCTCTTCATCCACTAGCTCTAAACTCCTTAATTCCGCGCCTTTAGCCTGGTTTCTAGGTATGGTCTTAAGCATGACCAGTCTATTGTCCAAATAAAACTCCATTATCCCTTCCTTATAATTTGTTTCGACATCCCCAAGTCACTGTACCCCAAGAACTATGTCATACCCTACCAACGGTAACGAATAAAGGTCGGCCTTTATGATCTCGCCTTGAAGATTGATAGGCACCTCCCTATAATACTCACGACATCGTAGTCGCTCCCTGTTGGCGACTCTCACGTCATATGGCTCCACCTTAGTCGTCGGAAACTTCAACTCGTCAGATAATACGACAATAATAAATTGTGGGATGACCATGTATCAACTAACACCTCGATAGATCGTCCTCGAACTGTAGCGCGCAACTTAATGGTTCTCGGTCCATGCATCCCCGACATAGTCCTTGACGTAGTACATCGATTCATCCTCCCCGGGCTCTTCCTCGTCACCCTCGATGGCGTACAATTGTTGCTTGCAACGATGACCTGCGCAAATTTCTCGTTGCATAAAAAATATAGTGTGTGTTTGTATAGAAATATATCCATTCAAAATGATTTTTTTTTTTGTTAACCATAGTTAATTTTTTTTAAAAAAATAGTATGGTTAGGTGTTAGCAGAATTTTTAATTTATATTAAAATAATATTTAAAATAAAATAATTAAAGTTGATTTGATTTAAAAGTAGGAGAGAGATGGTGTGAAGTAACGAACAGTTATATATATATATATATATATATATATTAAACTAAGATCAAAACAATCAGATAAAAGACGAGTTAGATACTACATCAAAAAATAAACCGAAAGAAAATATGGAGATAATCACTCCAAGCATGGAGTGATTGCGAACCAACTACCCATTTAGCTATGTTGTGGGTCACCCCCATTTTGTTGTCTTGGTAAATAACCGCATCGGCCACAACTGAGGGAAAGGAGCAGTGCTCTAATATCATGAAACATTCCAATCAATGGATCGAGATCATATTAGTACGAAATCCCGCTGATGACGCCCATAGAATCCGTTAAAACCGTTTGAAGACTGAGACCCAAGTGCAATACATAACCCGTGTCTGATAGCTAAAGCTTCCAACAAAAGCTTCCCAAATTGGATTTAGCAGTCTTCAGCAGATTCTACTGTTCCCCTCCTATATTTGTTCCATTTGCATTTTTCTTTGGTGCTTTAAACTATCCAACCAACAACTACTTGTATACAATTAAAATTGCAGCAACCAAAAATTTAGATAGCAAAGACACATAAATAAGAATTTAATTTTCATTTACATAGTAGACATTACAATATTTAAGAGCAAAATTAAAACAATTCTAATAGTTCTCTAAAAGCAACCTAGCTAGACAACCTCAATATAGCTTAGGACTGCATGCAACTATATGGCCTAATTTATATTTTTAGTAATAGCAATTAATCAAGAAACATTTTTCTCATCAGAAGTTTGCGAACTGATTCTGAGAAGATTGTACCATCTGCAAATCCATTGTCGTTTGGCAAGAATTATCGTCTACGATCAAGGTCCTGATAATTTATCAAATAACAATATGATATCAAAAAAATAAAAAGGTACTTATTCATAAAATTATATTATGTGAATTGATCTTACTCTCTAGGTCTTGATGCCCAAAGGGAACTTAGGGCTCGTAATCGGCCATAATACTCTCCGATTACAAGGAAACATCGAGCTGATTGACGTACCGTCAATATACGATGCAGTTGGTGTAGTGTTTGCTGCCTCAAATTATCAGCCTGCAATTTTTCAAAACTTGTATGTAACAAGCAATTATGAAGACTAATTTACCAACATATTNTTATTATTTAGTTAAAAAATAAAAATGGGGGGCCTTAATAAGAAAAATTATGCCTCCATGATTGGTTGGTGATGGCCAATTGGCCATTATCTGTAGGGTACCACAATAAGTGGACTCATTACTCACTAGTCATTATCATATTCCAAGATTTTATTTTTAGTGTTTGTTCTTTTGTACACTGCTCTAAAAAGTAATTTTCCATAAAGACAATGCAAAAAGTAGATTTAATTCCTTGAGGATGAAGTATTGAAATTCTTCATTTATTTTTCTCACTAGTTATAATGAGATTTTGCTGGTATATTCTGTTACTCTCTTTCTTCTTTCTTGGGATTTAGTGTGCTTCAATCATCTGATAGTGAAACCTCCATCAGTACTATGATATCAATTATCAAAACATGATGCAAGAGACAGAGCATATATATACTGCATAAGGTTTTAAGGAATTACAAAGTTAATAAAAATGGTATATTTTTATTGAATAATTTTAGAATTAAAAAGAGAGATTGGGAGATATTTTCTATGTAAAAGGGAGACTAACAAAAGCTAATGTTCACTCATTATATATTTACAAACCACCCTATTATTTATATACATAACTAATTGTGCCCTTAGAAAAGGGTGGTTTGTAAAGCAAAAACACACCTCCAATTAGACTGAACCACACGGGTGTTTTTGGTAATTATCGTAAACAAAAAGGAAATACACTTAAAGTAGAAAAGGACTGTAAAGATTTCATTTTTACACTTTTTTTTTTTTGGCACTTGAGCTACTTTTTCTCTATTGTTGTATCAATTGGCAACATTTGCTTTGCTATCTTATCACTTATCACTTATCTCACTAACTTAAAGTTCAAAGATGACCTTGAAAACCAATTAGCCAACACAGGGTTGTCTGGAAAGAGATTGACATAAATGCCATGAAAAGAACAAATAACATAACATAAATCCATTTTTAGAGAAAACAATAAAAATCAGAGCACATTTGACTAAATTACCTGGCGAACAAAGCCTTCGAGATTGGCTAGCTTGCCCAATGCAATGGCCATGTGGTGCATGTTATCGTTAATCGAGCCATTGGCTATGGTGTCGATTAGAGATTGTTGCAATTGCTCGAGACCTTGAGATAGAGCCTCCTCCGCCTGCTGAGTTGACTGTTGGAGACCGTATATACCCATCACTTGTTGCTCGGTCAACGGGTCCAATTGAGCTATCAACATCTAATTAATTACTCACAAAAAAAAAAAGTCTTTCAAGTTATGATGTATTTAAAAAATAGAGAATGACTACATTCCTGTTACAGAATCAGTGTAGTGTAAATAATCTACGGTTAAAAATACTGACAGAATGATTTCATAAATAGACTGTAGTCATTCCCTAAAAATATTCATTAGATAATAAAATACAAAGTGAAATAAGAAATTTGAAGCCGATAAAGTGTGTGCATACATATTTCTTGACGAATTGAAGAAAAAAAAAATCATATTATACGTATGAATGTGTTAAAAGTGGAACCTTGATTAGGTCAGAAGGGCGAAAACCGGCCATCCAGAGGAAGCAGCGCTCCGCAGGCGTGGCCCACATGCCGGTTATCAAGTGAAAGACATCGGATTTTGCGGCAACTCCTTTGAGGCGAAAAATCTCGTCATAATGTGCAATGTAGTTTTCGACTATTAACCTCATGTCGCCATCTGGCAAGTGGGCCTGCAGTGCGTTGCGGAGTTCGGACAAGTGCCGATGGTCTTCGTCTAGCCATCTCGCGTAATCCATGTCGAATATTGCACCACCTAAATTATTATAATATTAATAATTAATCAACAATTTTTAAAAATTATAATTACATTTCAAAAACTACTATCTCTCAAACTTTTCATGGAGAAAATAGACTCATGCTGCCAAACAGTAATAAATATATATTTACCTTTTTATTTTTATTTTTTTTTGTGGAGTTTTCACATGTTTATACACATAATAAAGCTGCAGGACTAAGTTTTTTCTGCTAAGCAACAAGTTTGGGCGCCTTGAGTTGAAAAAATTGTGGGCACTTATCTGGCAATTGACTGAAACTTGAAAAATTACAATATGTTTTCCCATTTATATATATGCAAGAACAAGTCAAATAAGAAAAGTAAAAACAAGGGAAAACACAGAAACACACTTTTGTGGACCAACCATAAGGTAAAAGATGAAAGTACTGGTCATACTGATATCTGAACATTACTGAGATTTGATATGATTCCATTTTTCCTAAAATTGCTACTTGAATTCTGACAGGAAATTGGGCAGCCAAAAATCTTTTAATCAAATGTAGGCTTGTTTTG